GAATTGTCTCTCGGGGTCAGGCAGGGTGAGGATAGGAGCTGAGCAGAAGCGCCGCTTAAGCTCAGAAAAAACTTTGTCTGCCGAGGCATCCCAGGCGAACCGTCGTGTGGAGGAGGTGAGTCTGTGGAGTGGAGCTGCAACAGAACTGAAATCCTGAATGAATTTCCTGTAGAAGTTGGCAAAACCTAAAAACAGTTGAGTCTGTTGCCGGGAAGTGGGTGTGGGCCAGTCCATAACAGACTGGACCTTGGCAGGGTCCATCTAAATGCGACCGGTGGAGAGTACGAACCCCAAGAATGACACAGTGGGAACGTGAAAACAACACTTTTCTGCCTTTACATAAAGGTTGTTCTGCAGTAAATGTTGTAGTACAGCCCTGACATGGATTATATGTTTGGGCAACGACGAGGAAAAAATGAGGATATCATCCAGATACACGAAGACGTACCTATTGAGCATATCCCCCAGGATGTCATTGATCATGTTCTGGAAAACAGCGGGTGCGTTAGTGAGTCCAAATAAAAGCATGACAGGAAGCAAGAGGGGCAGGAACGTGACAAGCCTACGTTCAGGCCCAACTCGCTGTCACTATGTGCCACAGAGCAAGTGGAGCCCTTCATGCTGAAAAGCTGTAGTAGCCCTGGAAGCGATGAGCAGGAACAAAAAGAAAGATGCCTTTTCAGTTAAGTATAACAAGCATGTTAGTCTCCCTGTGATGCCTGAGTATTGGCCCTTGTCATTTCTAGCTTTATTGTTTCCTCGTCTCTCAAACTGACTATTGGAGCTCTGGTTGCTGGCAGTAGTACACAGGATAGACCCTGAAGAAGCTGAAATATAAATTGTCACTTGATTAATTTCCTCATTTAATCGAATTTCATATCCTATAAAAATGAGCAGATTACTCAGTGGTGGTAATTAATAGTGTGGTGGTTGAAATGCTTTATAGCAGGTGTCCAGAGGATGTACAGAGGCTAAGCTCAGAGCCAGCTATGTGAAGCCTCTGTTACTCAGAATCACTGTCCTTTAATTAACCAGTCCTCTGCAGAGGCACAGGGAGTATGGATAGTATGTGACACACATGCACACTTAAGACATAAGCAGGCTATAATGAGTAGTTTGCCCAATACTGACCCCACCCACTCACCTACTTATGCAGAAAACAGAAGAAAGTCAGCGTTGACCTGAAGTGATGTCACCGCCTAACCTTTCTTCTTCAGGAGAAATGACAGATGCAGTAATTTGTGTCACCCAGTGAGATGGCTAGTGAGCCAGACAGACGGTCAGCAACGTTTTTCCTTATCTTTTAGTTGCACTGGTGCCTTTGAGACTGAATGTATTAGCCAGGATAATTGCCTTTGTCTGCCAAACTCTCATGTTTTGCTGAGGCCACAGCGGAGATGAAGACAGTTCACACAACATAGATAAAGGCAGAACCTAAATACTTTAACTGGATGTTATCTATGCTGCCCCATTTCTGTGTATCTGACTCATTTTGTGTCATATTTAAAAAATGAAAGATGACTATTACCTGCACATAACTCAGCAAACTTTGCTGGGGAAATGGTTTTCAATCTGAGCTGGGAGACTGAGTGGTTATGTATGTTCTAGGAATCATAAATCCATGGGCTAGCATGGCTAAGTGAACAGATCAGATTAGTATCCATGAAATCACAGCCGATGAGGGTGTGTATGTGTGTACTTGTGTCCTAATTTATGCACTATGGAGCATCTAAATTAATTCCCCATACTTTATCTTCTAAAAACATAAGCAACCTACTTTACACATGACTATTTTTCTACAGACAGATTATATATGTGAATTTGAGAGCAGAAGAAAAGTTTTTATGCGCTTATGATGAGTGTGTGTATGTGTGTGCAAGCAGAGCATTTTTAAATCTCCAGACAGTTGTGGTGGCATGATGGGGACTAATGATTTGTGGACTGCAGCTGCTTGTATGTGCATATGTGTGTTTATGTGTATGGAAGGGCACATGATGGATGAGTTTCTAAGCAAGTCATTGTCCGGCCTGAGGGATTGAGTCAAAGACTGCTCATGATCTTACTGCTTCCCTGGACTCCTAATTAAACACCATTTCTGCTTATTCTGTCATCTGCCCCTTTCTTCCTTTCCCTCATACCTCTTTCCTCCCTCTGTCTCTCTGTTTCCTACAGCTGAGGGAGGTCACCATGAGCCAATGAAGTGGGCTGTGTTACCTCTTGACCATGCAACGCCCTCCAACCTCTCAGCCACCTTCAGAACTGGAGACAGAGTCGGGGCTAACAACAAAGATGAGACTGATGCTGGTCCAGGAGCTTGGCCTGAGGGCAAAGTGTTTGCTGAGGCCAGAAAAGTGGTTTGGACTGAAACAGAAGCAGGAGTGCATGCTGGAGCAGGTCGCAAAGTCTTTGCCAAGACTGGAATTATGACAGGAACTGGTACCTGGGCGAAAGTTGGGGCTGAATGGAGGCCGGTGGACAGGGAAAGGGGTGACCTGCCAAACATGCCCAGGGACCCCGCTGCCTGGCTGGTGCAGCAGAGGCTACAGACACATGAAGAGGGCCAAAGACAGCAGGCAGCCATCTCATCAGTTCTCACCATGCTGGCAGAGACAACAGAGCTGAAAGCACCAGAGGTGGGGAAACCTTCAGGACTGCTCTCTAAAGCTGCTTGGACCAAAAGCTCCTCCTCATTGTCATCCAAAGCCTCTTCCTCCTCCTCCTCCTCCTCCTCCTCCTCCTCTACAACAAAAGCATCCTCTTTGCCTTCCTCCACCTCTGGAGCCAGTAACAGAGACAGTCGGACAGCGGGATCAGACAGTGTGTCTCTGGTTGCTGTCAACAACAACTCCTCTGAAAGCAACGGCAGTTCCAGTTTGGGTATGGTGCTGAGTTGTCTCTCATTTAAACACATTTCAGCTTTGATTTTTAAACTGTTTGTTAACCCCTCCCCCAAACAGAGACTGTCCAGTCATAGTTAGCAACAATAACTAGGTACAGCAGGCTGGTCAAGCTTTGATTGATCACCTTGAAACTATGTTCATGAAACGGGAATGAGAACCAAACCGCAGTTGGTGAACTTGTAGGGTTGTGTCATTTTTAAAAATCCTTTACAAAACTACACCCCAAGAGTAAAAGTGCAAATGATTCATTGACCATCATCTGCATCATTGTTTTGTTTTCTTCTACTTACTTGCAGCTATAACATGCATTATTTCCAAAGCCAAGGAGCATATCATTAGTAAGCAACATGATCTCTTACAAAGGAAATACAGAATAGTGACCTTATCCTGCAAGTCTTTGCTCTGGAAAAAGTAAAATAGATAGTTTGAAAGCATAAATCTACCCTTTGTCTTGTTAGTTCAAGAATGTTTTCTACTTAGCACCCCAAATATAATAAATAACATATAATTCCATTTGTATTTATACATGCATTCATTAGGTAGAGTAGCATGCTTATAAAATTTGTTTGCAACACTCCTGGGCTAGAAATACTGTCATCACAACCACTTTAGCAACAGCCTAAACAACCATCATCACCATCATCTTCTGTTTGTCATCATCTTTATCATATTACCATCATCATCATCATCTTTGTCCTCATCTTGACCACGACCATGTCCAGTCCCATTCCACCAACTCCATGTCTCCCCACTTCTTGTCACTCCATGATCACAAAAACAGTGACATCTTCTGCAAGGTAATTTTATATATACAATATATTAACTTTGAACACAACAATGATCCAAAGCCAATATCTTGTTGCCCAGTATTTTAAACCCACACTAATCACACATTACAGTCAAATTAAAACATGGCCTCATGTGGTGATGTGAGTGGAGGATAAGAGGAAACCTGGATCTGTCTGTCTGAAAGGACTGATTTCCTCTTGACTGTTCACTCCAGTCTCCTCTACATCTCTCATGGATATGCATCTTGTACAGTGTATCAGCATCTCATTTGATTTAGATGGATTGAATAAATCCATGGTGTTAAAGTACTTCTCTGGTTTACACAGTGAAAATCTCCTTATCTCCTCCTCATTTTAAATCTCACTCTGAGCATATCATATAGCCTCACCTCATGTTATTTAATATAATTGTCAACAAATGCCATAAAAAGACCAAAAACAATGTTGTGTCTCAGTGTTTTCAGAACTTCCTACCCTGCCTGTGCCGCTCAGCCCTAAGTCCCTAACTTCCTACTCATATAGTTTCATTTCTAAGAGGCCACAGCTGGGCTCAGTAGTTTGCAACCAAAGTACAAAGTGTATTTACTGGGGGACTATTTTCATCTCAGAATATTTATTTTTCTTTTAATACCCATTTCATCTACTCAGTATTTATGGTAGCACAATGGTATATTTTCAAAAAATAATAATAATTGGACTGGATGGTGTGGCTTAATGAGATATATCAGGCTTTAGACTGAACAGTACATAGTAGTATCAGTTCATTGCAAGTTTTGTTCTTTGTATGTGATTTGTTAACAAGAAGAAAAATATCCCCAGACTTTACTTTCATTATGTCCCAATGTTTTCCTTCCTGCAGAGGAGTTAGTAAGCAGTCTCCCAGCCTGGGATCTCCCCACTGTCCCCGAATCGCTCCTATCCACAGTGGGCGACCATGACATCACACTTCCTGCCAACGTCACCAGCCCTTTCTCCACCCACCAATGGAACACCACCGTGCCCATGCACACTAGAAACACCTCACGATACCTGACTACATCAACCACCACCATGAACGCATCTCTGTTGCTCACTGCCACACCGTCCGTACAGTTATCCACCACAGCAAGCGCACAAACACCACCAGAATCTGTGACGGCTTCAAACACCACAAGCCAGGACACTGTGACCAAAAATGACATTGAGCTGACGGCAGTAGTGGAGACTACGCCCTCAGTGACCACTATTACTGTGACTGCTGATGAGCCAACGACGCAAGAAGGAACCACTGGGAGCACTACAATGTTTCCACCCAGTACCACTGCTGCTAAAATCACACAGCAAATGACAAATCTCAGACTGACCACCGCAGCTACAACTCAGCCTAAAACCACCACTACAACCACACCTGCCCCTACTACCACCACTACTACTGTCCCCCCAGTCACCACCACTACTGCTCTCACTACTACTACTACTACACCTCCAGCTACTACTGCTGCCACCACCACTACAACAACAACAACAACAACAACAACTACAACCACAACAGCAGTGGTACCTGTGACCACTGTGTCCATCGCGGTCCAAACGTCACCACCTCCTACCATGACAACAGAACCTCTGGCCAGTACCATTGCAGAGGAAAGTCCCTTACCATGCAACGTGACTGAGAAATACTGGGTCAGAACAGGTGTGACATTGATGTATCTCTCAAAAAGAATTAAAGTGTGAATATTTTAAATGTGTGGGAACCAGAGAACAGAAAGTAAACAGAAAGATGAATGGCTAAGACATCAGGGCAATCCTGTAAAAAAGACTTTACTGTTACTTTGGGTAAGGCATATACCCCTTATCAAATCATCTACTACACACTCAGCATTAGGCTGAGACAAGCTTTAGCCATTTTTCTGGAAAAACAATTACAAAGTAATGATGAAAACACATAAAATGCCATTTCAGAAGCATAAGCACAATGTACCTATTATGTAACAGAGATGTACTTACATGCACACCAATTAATTAAAAGTGGCACAAAAACAAGGGCAGATTTTCCTCCAGCATAAACAGTTAGATTAATAAGAAGCTGGAGACTGTAGCCTTTGACTCTATTTACCAGAGATGGAGTGGTATTATTTAGGGGTGGGGAGCAGGTTTACACAGTCACCAAAATACCTGTGGTCACATATGCACTTCAAAGGAGAAAACATCCCTAAGCTCTAATCATGTCTTCCTTCCCAGTTTTGTCCATTGAGCTGTGCAGGAACCATCTAGACCTGATCCTGAAACAGAATCTGTCTAAAGGACTGAGCCATGCCCTGCAGAGAGCCTTGAATGATTCCACTGCCTATGCACAGGTCAGTCTGTCTTGGCTTCAGAGCTCGGTGGACTCTAACCAATGATCAGTATCCAGTAACCAGGGATTTGTAAATGGTAGGTAAACAGGTAATAACCTAATAAAGACAGGACAGAAGTAACCACTGATCAGTGGTTAGCCTATTTATGTGAGCAGCTAATAAGCACATTGTTGTGCTTTACAAATACATTTTAAGGGCCAAGTGCATGGAAAATTCATGAGGGTCTCAGTAGACTATAGCTCACACATGCATGACTAGTAAACACACGTCAGTGGCTAATAAGCAATTGATTTTTTTATTTGAGTACAAAGTTGCCTTATCAAAAGTAGATACACAAAACAGCATCTAATTAAATTCAATTCAGTTTTATTTTTATAGTACCATATCACAACAAAATAATCTCATGACACTTTACAAAGTCTAATATTAAGGTCTAGACCTTAATATTATTAATATTATAGAGTTAAAACCCAACAAATCCCCCTTGAACAAGCGCTTGGTGACAGTGGGGGAAAAACTCCCTTTAATAAAAGAAACCTCAGACAGATCCTGGAGAAGTTAAAGAAATTAAATTGTAAATTAGTAACTTACTTACAATCTACTTATTTTAAATACTCCAATATTTGCATTTCACTTTGCCACATTGTTGGCTCTTTATGTGCACAGAGATGTTCTTTTTAAGTATGCCATCATCAGGTTACAGTATTCTGCAGTATTCATCATTTTCTCCACCTGCTCATCCACCTCACAATGATTCATCTGAGTGGTGCTAGAACAAGATGACAAATGTAGAGTGTGTTGTCTGAATAGAAATGATACACACACACTCTTACTCTCTCACTCACATACAAACATGATCATGGGAAACAAACCCAGAGTAATGATTCCTTTTTTCTGCATTATAACAGTGCAGTCAAGTGTGCTTTCTGTGCTCACTGTTTTTGTCTTTGTTTTGATTTGTCCAAACCTTTATGTTTCTTTTTCAGCCTGGTCTTTTTTTATTTCTTTTTCCTCTCACTTATCTGTTTCAAACAACAGCTCTATCACTCCCTTCTTTTGTATTTCTCAATATTTAGGTTTCTCATATTGCTCACTTCCTCCATCTACCTGATCTGATTGCTCATATAGATTGATTTTCTGCCAACCTGTCCATCGTCCATGTTCTGCCTGTCCGCCTCGTCATCTCTCTGTCTGTCTTCTGTCTTCATCGGACTGCTTTTCTATTTTTATCCAGTTTGTGTGCCTGCTCTGGGAGTGACTCAGTGTCTTTAAGCTCTAGTCCACTTTCATCTATGCCTTGCCACACAGAAGACGCACACACACACTCAAACACACAGACTCCTCAGCTATCATCCTGTCCTCTACATCAGATAACTGGATCAGTCTGTCGAGAAACAGTGAGGGCAACAACAACTGACCAGAACTTTAAAAGCCATGAACTATAGGCAGTGTTTTGAGGCATTGTTGGTAGACAGATATTGGCTTCAGCAGGGACAGGTATTGTTAGACTGCATGACATTAGCAGGCAGCTACCATATACTGGGGCGGCTGTGGCTCAGGAGGTAGAGCAGGCTGTCTTCTAACCAGAAGATTAGCGGTTCGATTCCTAGTTTGTCAAATCAACATGTCGAAGTGTCCTTGAGAAAGACACTGAACCCCCAGTTGCTTGTGGTAATGACACTGGTGTGTGAGCATTTGGCAGTATGAATGGCCAAGTAGAATTTGTTTTCTTTACCTTAGAATGAGTCTTTATATTTACATGGAGGCCACCATATTTTTTTTACAGAAGCCCAATGGACAAACCACACACTGGCATAAATTTCAAAATAAGATGCTGTGGATCTTTCATGTTAGGTAGAAACTCAAATGGATTGATTTAAAATTAAACTTTTTTCTTTAGATGCTTTTATGTGTTGCATGTTTTGTCCCCGGGTTGGAAGGAATATTATGTCATGACCCACGCCAATAGGCTCTGGGTTGTCCACTTAGAAAATAAAGGAATTGATTTCATATTTTTTAAAAATGCACCCAATGCTGGCACAATAGACACTTTTGTAGACAAATGTGTATGATCTATGATCAATGTCCAGCAGCACACTCATGAACATTAATTAATAGTTACATACGATGGGCAAATCATTCATGTGTCTTAATGTGTTACAAAGCATTTACTGGCTGTTTATATACCACTTATAAATGCTTCATTGTTGACCACTTTTGACTTCCTCATGAGCCTTATACAGCTGCTAGGTTGTTTTTGTCTCACTTTTTTTTTTTTGCAAATAAAGTCAGCCAGACCTGTGCTCAGCCTCTGCTATCACTTATTTCTCCCTGATGAAAGCAATGAAACAATTTGGAAAGTAATACGCACAACCACACTGTTCAGTGATGCAGTACATGGTCTTGGTAAATGGTCTTATACTTGTATAGTGCTTTTCTCTGCTTTGCAGCACACTCAAAGGGCTTATTTTCTGGTGATTACACACGAATGAAAATGTAATTATGCATTCTATAGCCCATTATTGCTAATAAAGCCTTCTAGATCTTACACACTGCACTTTTAAATAAAGATAGGTAGGCATAGGTTGGAAAACAGGTGAGTTTATTTAATTTTTTGTTAGTACAAAGAAGAGAGAAGAAGAGGATAGGAGGAGAGAGGTAATGAGATAATGTTTCACTAAGGGTTTTGTGTTTTCCTGAGAAAAAGTGCAGCCAGAGGCAGAGCCAGCTAATGCTCACAGGTGAAAAGAGAGGAGAGGCAGTATGATGACAGAGGAGAGAGCCATAGCAACAGCCACAGCTGCTCAGTGTGGTTGAAGGTAGAGAGTACAGAAAGGTAGGCGGTGTATAGTTCCAGAAATACAAGCCTTGACTCACCACCGATTGTTATCAGATTCATAACTGTTGAAGCCTCAAGTGAAGATATGCCCTCCAGACAGATTTGGCTATTCATAATCTGATGCACGGATATTGTAAACCCATAGATAATGAACCACATGTATTAGAAAAATATGCTTTCTAGCTCATTTGCAGGATAGTGGTCTGAGTTTGGTTCACGTGGTAGCATCGAATTCTTCTCTGATTCTGTTTCTTTGCAGTGTGTTTTATTCTAGATATACTAGTGTCACCATGTTTCCAGGATATGTGACATAGTATTGCTTGGAATACATAAAAAATGGTACAACTTGAATGTTTCACTTGTTTTTTTCTATTCCAGGTGGAACGTGACGACTGCAGTCCCCACAATATGACGCTGGGTTACTATGTGGTCTCCGGCAAAACTGTCTATATTTCCTCTGTGGTGGTTGAGGCTCTGAATATTTATGGGTTTGACAAGCTGCTGTCAGACATCAGGCGACACACCCTATTGGTTAAGGCAGTTCTGGCTCCTGTGACAACCTGGGTTCCCGCTCCAAACATTCACCTGCAGCTGAAAACAGGTAATGAAACCTGATGGAACATAAGATAGATCAACATTTACATAACAAAATCCACCAAAAAGGCTTGATTATAGCCTGATAGCATACATATTGGAGGTGGAGTGTAAAAAGATGAAGAATCACAGAGGTTGGAGATATGCAGAGAGGGGGAGGGTGAAAGTATGAGCTTAGGGAGTGCAGTGAAAATGCTATGAACATAGTGGAACGGAGACACAGGGGAAGAGCAGAGCCAAAATTAGAAAATTCTGATTACATGTCTGCTCTCCTTTACCCTTCTCTTCTCTGATTTCCCAAATCCCATACACACTCTCATGACTGCAGAGCAACAGCAAATTGGTCCATTCTTTAGTCAGTCTCTTAAGCCTCTTTTAAAAACTAATTTGTGTGTGCAAACGCACACACACACACACACACATCTAAATTGAATCTTGTGGGGACAAGGAATGGAAAATCAGTGCTATTTAAAAGATACATGTACAGACTGGGAATGCAGTACTTAAGGACTTTATTTTTTAAATTCATGTTGATCCAGTGTCCAGATTAAATCCAGTTACATGATGTATTTTGCAGTGGTGTTCCTGATTATATTAAAGCCCCTATGTGGATGTTTACTTCACCAACCCCAGACTTTCTCTTTGTCTGCTTCCTCCTGCAGAGTTTGCAGACACTGAAAGGCCACTTCATTTCCTCATTCATACAGTCCATAGCCTATCAAAGTGCAAACTGAGTGTATTCATTTTCAGAATTTTCTGTTGAGAGAAGAAAATAAAAAGCTCAGTTAGATAGTCGCCTAACAGTTTGCTACCAGTTTGTAACAGCAAACCGTTCATACCATTAAAATTCTTTGATTTGTTTTTATATCACTGCTTGGTTTGGAGCAATCATACATCTCTGATTTTCTCATCTTGTATTCAACATCCAGACCCCTCAGATCCCCTTTGCAGCTACTGCATGCTCACAGCCCAGATCTAGAGGTGACTGAGCCTTTTCTGCTGCTGCTCCCAGACTGTGGAGCCACTTAGTGTCAGGTCCTCCTCATCTACTGCCACTTGTAAATCCTGGCTAAGGACTCACCTTTACACAGCTGCTTTCGAGTACATAAAGTAATTAAATTAACAAGTACACTCTTGTTTTATTTCCATTACTTAATTAATTTTGGAAAGTTTGCCCCTCTTGTCTTAATTTGTGATTGCCATTTAAATTTTTTCCTGTGAAGCACGTTGATCAGTGTCTGTTGTTTTATTATAAATGAATTGGACTTGACTTGACTTGATTACAAGCTGGGCCAACTGTTTGTGTGTGTTGTTATTGAGAGACATAGCCCACACTTATATACGCACCACAGCATTTTGAATTTAGGTCAGAATGTTGTTCCACTGCTAATATCCCAATTCTCTCAGGTAAAAAAAATAAAAAGGAGATTGAGTGAGTGCAGAAAGAGAATGGAGGACAACTGCTGTAAAAGGACTGAGACAACATTAATAACATCCTCTGTAATCTGTTGATGGACTCAGTATTGTTTACCCTCGTCCTCCCTGGTGCAGAGCTGTGCAACGCTGACAGACAACTCTTTCTCGGTGTTCTCAGAAGTGATAATCCTCTTTCTCCGTTGCAGTGCTTAGGTTTATCGGCCACACAGGCAACATCTATCTTGAGCACTACTTTCATTAACACTGACAGCACAGCCCCAGATACAGGTTCCAGATATAGCTTGATGAAGTGGATTGTCTTTTATTGTTTCATTTCTCTTTCTCCAGCTCCTTTCAGGTGTTTTCCCTAGTTTCCTAGTTCTGATAAATACAGTTATTCAAAACATTTCTAACTCTCCCATATTCTTCTTATATTACCAAACATACAAGAAGCTCTGTCTTCTCTCCCATGCTCTACAGGATGAACTCCGTCACATAAAAAGTTCCCTTTCTAAAACACAACTCAAGTTTCTTAGTTCCATCTATCAAAAAAAAGTCAGACAGTGAAGACATTTTACAAAAAAAGAGTATTCCTCAAGTCATCCATCAATGAAAAATAAAATATAAAATGTATTTCATCTTCAATCTCACCAAATTCACATAACAAACATCATCTTTTATCTGCCAGTAAACCTGCCTCTTCTGATTCTGATAGCTAAAGGACAAGTACCAGAGTGTAACTAAGCAGAAAAAGATCTCTGGCTTTTTGACAGGTTCAGTCTCACAAAACACTGAAAAAAAGGACTCACCGGGTCTTTGGATTTACACAAATTATGCTAGTATATGCAACGCAATTCATTCATATTTCCTCTGTTAACATAATTCAAACAAGTTAACCCCTAAAGAAAATCATGTTGGTGTTACACATTATCATTGTGTGGGACCGATGTACACGTTACAATCAAGTAAATCCAACAAATCCTTTTTTTCAGTGAAGGCTCGACCCCATAATTGTCCTTTATTTGACAATATGTCCGTAATTTAGGTTTAGACAGGCAACTCACAAATCTGTTCCATAGTCAAAACATCTCACCCGTATGTCTGACATTAGGTGGTTCCCAGCCCATATCTCCTCTAATGGTCAAGACTGCGGTAAATTTATGAACTCCCAGAAATGCATGCATAATATACTATATTACATTTCACCTGTTCATTGAACCCTTGGTTGCCTTCTACAGGATATACACATGATTTATACAGGTGTGTATAAGTTCAAATCCAGTAAATAAGCTTCTAAAGAATGCTTCTAAGAACTGTTAAAAAACCCCACTAAAGAAGAACCAACCACCCTCCATCTTCCACGCAGCCCACAGTTTAGTGAATAATTCTCTGAGACTTGGTAGATTTTAAAACAGCACATTCACAACACATCATTTATTAAAACAAAAATAAAGTACTGGTTTGAAGGGAGTAATTGTCATTTATTGCTTTCTTTTTGTTTTTTGTTTTTTAATCCTAAATGGTTTATTTATTTCAAATAAATATAATTGTCTGTCTTGCACTTGTAGTGTTGAGGTTCGTCGGCCCGACGGACAACATCTACTCTTGCAGTTTTGTCCAGATGCTGGAGCAGAGGCTGGAAAATGCCTTTGATGAGGCTCAGGACAAAGTGCTGGAGACCTACAACAGGCTCATTGTGGAGGTACTGTATGGGTTCATGGAGGCTATTTTTAGTGCCACATGTAGACAGACAAGCAGTCCATATTTGTACTGTATGTGGCATTATTATCAGGCTAACATGAATAATAAAGCTTGAGGTAAAGATTTTGACTCTTATATAGCTTTTTTTTTTTACATGCCTGCTAATTAGTGGCCACAGTTTCTGCTGGTTCATTGTGCAAGTGCTTTCCTGCAAATTAACTTATAAAACACAGAATATTGCTCTGTAATTCACCAATGCAAATCACAAAAGTCAGACACATAGTGGTTTGTTTCCAGAGACCCAGTCAAGGCTCATGTTTCTACAGTGCAGTTTTATATTTAAACCCTTTTGGTTCTATTTCCTACTTTTGTGTCTCTTTGTCTCTTGCTATCAGGGTTCGCTCATGACTGCAGGATATACAGTACATGCACACACCATCATAATCATAAAGCAGGTCTCAGCAAGGACAGGCAGATGTAGGGACTATTCATAATTCATCCTCTGAAATATTAGTGCTCATGGAGGAATGTGATAGAATTCCTCATATCTCCTATCATCATCCACCTCACTCTGGTGACTCAGTCACATTATTTTCAGACCATCGCACAAGTTATAGAAGAAAAAACACATTGTTCATTCAAAGTGTCGGGCCCTCTGTTATGCATTCTTTATGCCGTCTTAGACATTTGGCATTAGATATTTCTGCATGAATGTTTGAATTATACATGTGCCCAGTGCTGCCTCTTTATGTGCTTGCTATAAATAAAGAAATCAATAAACATTTCAATATTGTACCTGTGGGGCACACAAAGACTTATTTGACTGATTGAACTAAAATATTAAAACATGTTTGTTTGTCCTCAGATCCAGAGTGTGTCTCAGGAGCCAGGCTCTCCGTCAGTTACTCTTGTGTATGTGGTGAAGAATCAGGATGCCATTCTTAACGGTACAATCTCCAGCGGCCTCCTCAACCAGCTGACTGCTGAGCTGGTGGGCTACTTCCTGTTCTACCCACCCCTGGTCATCGCTGAGCGTAAGTAAACCAATAGTGCACCTACAATGAAGGTCCTAATGGACAGCTGTGGTGATGACACATACAGGTAGATCTAATTAATGATCAGTGTGATGTTAGCTCTCAGGTTGATCAGCTACCTTCAACTCTTCTGTCCAGTCGTTCTTTAACGTGTGTAGATAATAGGTGAATTTCTTTCAAGGTGCCCTGTAGAATTTTCTTGCAAATAAACAAATTTGTGTTTTCATTCAGTGTTTCATACCAAGGTACATTATGTGTATCCTGGAGGTCTAAAAAAGTGTGGTATTTCCTTCCTCATAAAACATTTGCAAATCTCATTTTTGAATATTCTAAATCTTGATTTGTTTACACCCCTGTTTTTCTAGCTCACACTCTTCTCAACAAATGTGCATTACTTTAATTTGCTTGCATGTTACTGCCAACAATTGTTGTTCAGTGTGAAACTGACAGCAGGAACGTGAATCATGTCACCCTGCTTGTGTGCCACCAGCACTGAAAACTGATTTCCATTCATCTCCACTGTGTTAGAGTAGAGGCAGAAATCAGACATGTATCTTAAAACATGAACAAAGGAAACCAAAACTAAATTCATGGCTAGAGGCCATGAGATGTCACTGGAGATGAAAATGTTTTTGTCACTGGGGGAAATGATGCTTTATTGTGTTGACTTCCACCTTATTTGATAGTAGATCAGTAAAGTTGATGCCACTATACAAACATTCGTATAACTTTATTCTGTGTTTTGATGCAAACAAATCACGTGATCACAAGACCTAGAATACAATGAAAGAACACGTAGTCATATACAAATTAGCAAGTGAGGTCATCTGGCAACTTGTCAGATACTTTGAGCTGTCAGCAGCTACATGTGAGATGGCTCCACTGCTTGTGAACAGTTCATTGCTCATGGACACTCATTCGCTTGATGTACTTCTGAACCATCTTCTCAGAGCCACTGCTGAACAGTTAATGATGAATCTGTAATCATTAAGAGAAGGATATAAAGGAATACAAAGTTCATCTGTGGACAAAGTGCTGACATAAACATATGGTATGTAATGTTTAGCTAATCCTGCAGTGGATGCACTATACCAGAGCTTATTTCCTGAACATTATAAAAGTAGATGTTTCTATGGCTGCCATTTCAGGAGTTTGATGTAAACTGACATTTAAAAGCATACATCACAAAACAAGTGACATTCTACTGACTTGTCATTATGCTTTCTAATGGCTGTTATCTCAGTTGACTATGACAAAACACAGATCTCCCATTACAGTTTGTGTTCATTAATACTGGATGTGAAATCTGTTAGAATTTTCATTATCCCTCAAATGTTTATTATCTTCCTTTATTGTTGTATTTCTTGCACTACTTGCATTGTATTTCTCCAAGGTAAAGACCACTCTAACAGATTTGGACATGCTGATGTACATTTTGCATCATAATGTTAGAGAAAAAGAATCTCAAAGCAGTACTGTATCTGGAAAGTGTGAAGTAGCCATGTTTTTTTTTTTTTTTTACATACAGTAGTAACCCTCAGGTTGTTGGGGCTGACTTGAAAACACAACAAGGCTGGAGGCAGCTCCTGCAGCCATGCTCCATGTGTTTTTGTGAGATTTTCAGCAGCAGGATAGGAACAAGTGTGCTGAGCTGAGCCTGAATTCTAAAAGAGGATGTCTGCACTCCAAGCTTTATTTCGGTCTTGAAAGGCTCAGCGGACCGAGGCTGGAGGTACAGTAGTATGGAAAACATTACTGCAGGTTCTGCATTAATGAAGCCACTGCTGCTGTTTATTTTCTTCCACTAGAACTGGACATTTGGAAGAGTCCGATCCCTTCATGCTAATTTTATAGTCATTATGTAACAGTTGTTGTCCTGCTCATTATGTGCGGCAGTGAACTGCTGGGCTGGGGAGGATTTACATAGCATACGGAAAGTGCCTTCATAATAGATACCACAGTAAAATTGTTGCAGCACTTCACACAGACACTGTTGTATTTCACTTTATTAAAAGACATTATAAACATAAGTGGAATACCATAGACCCCATAGATGAGCTTGTTTTGCATTCCACTTTGGCCTCCAGTACCATCTGTGAGATTTAAAAAGGGCAAACAGCTGTACAGTCTCTATCATCTGAATCATATCATAGGCAATCTGTTGTCCAAGTCCCCTGAATGAGCAAATTTTAGCCTGGTGATATTAGATTAGTATCTATTTGTGTGTACTCTGAACACCCAAGGCACTAAAACATCACACTTCACATGGCCACATCCGAACCAACTGGGCATCACCATGGGAACCCTGTCTGCTCCCAGAAGAGATAAGTCTGTTGATTTTTTTTGTTTGTTTGTTTTGTTTCACTATTTCTGGTTCACTTTTCTTTGCTTAAGCAACTATAGGGACGTGATGGATGTTCTTAGTGCTTAGAGCCTGTTATTGACAAAATACATCCCCCACATACTGTATTTTGTTAGGAAGAAACATGTCATGTAGTGCAGTGGTTTATCTCACTGGTGTGCTTTCAACAGTTTTTTAACAACAGTGGAGGTCTATGGCACAGATGAATGAGCTAAACAAGGTTCTTTTATTAATCATGACAATGGACAAATTGATATAATAATATAGCGTAATAAAAATGATTAATGCTCAGTCAAAGAATGGCTACAAACATTCATAGACACACTGCTACCAGTGAATAGTCCAGACGTGTACTGGTACAGACATGCTGACTGGGCTGATACTGAGAGCACAAGTGTGTGATCAGTTCTTCTGTAATCAGAGTTGCCTGAACATTGACCTTCACAATCCGTTTACATGCAGGGTGTGGCAACTGCCACCATGTCTGCAGCGTGTAACCATTTAAGGGGATAGAACTCTCTGCCAACCTGAGCAAATTTTAAATTTATATTTTTTAAAAAGGTCAGTTATGACAACTTATTTTAGAATAAATAAATCTTTTATAAAATTGTTTATTTTTTATTGACTGAAGTCAAACTATTTGTATTTATATTGGTGTGTTATTTCCCTTCTCCCTCTTTTTTGGGCAGAGATCAGCTGTAACATTGCAAAACAATTCCCTTGGGATCAATATAGTTTTTAACTCTTGAATCTTACTATTATTAAACTTGTTTCAAGTGTTGGTTCTTCAAAGTTAAGCTGGAATTATCAACAAGTCCCTCAAATTAAATGATAATGTCGTGCAGTGGCACAGTAACATAACTGTAATGGGCCCCGGTGCAAATTTTTTTCCATGCCTTATCCCTTTCCCAGGTGCACGTGCATGCTCCTGCACACATGTATGTACGAACACACACACACACACTCCAGACAATTGCATGGAGAGTCTTACCATGCAAGTCCCATCCTGAAAACCAGCCACTGATCAGCAACACAAACAGTGGTTAATCCAGGCTAATCAACGGCCTCCCCTGGACTCTAACCACCACAGCCTCATTTCTCCAACTTTGAAATATCCAAAATATTCAGCCAGTCTAACGGCGCTACCAAATCAGCACAACGGTAGCTTACACTGTGCCAATAAGCACAGAACAAGTAGCCATCAAGAAAAGCACAGCAACTTGTTATAGATCTACACAGTAGGAGAATAGATTCAACATGCGTAATGGCACCAGCAGCCAAAATGTTATCACGGACACAGATTACAGTAAGTGTGCATTTTCCAACAAACTGTAGATTTAAATCCCTGATCCCATTCCATGACAAAGGGAAGCCTGCATCACCTATTAGAAGCTCATCCTATGGGCTTTGTACTCAGCAAAGTCATTAACAGTGCTGCTCAAATCCAAATTCCTTGCTCGTTCCTCACCTCTTTTTTGTTGGGGCTCTCTAAAGAAGAAGCTTTATTTTATTGTCATTGTAACATGGACAACGAAATTTTGTTTGGAGCTGAGGGTGCAGATTCAGGGTTGTGGTCTTGTGTATGCTAGCTCCCTGTCACACTGTCATGGGTTACTGGGACACCTGAACAGGACAGAGCCATTGTGAATATTATTAGCGACACCCATGCCTTTCCTACTATGAAAACATATATCTTACCAATACCAATATCTTAAAATAAAGTGTTATTTTTATCCAGTTACTACAAACTAATCAACTTATTACTTTAGCACAGTAGTATTGGATGGTTTGTGGGTCTCGGGAGATCAGCGGGGGCCTTGGGTCTACTTGTAAGTTAGCATGGTCATGATGTTACCCAGCAATCTTTATACATTAAAAAAATACAATAAAATGTTTAAAATATAGTCAATATTTTTGGAAAGTTCCATAAGGATGTGAGAAGTGGTGAATATGAAGTATATGCACGTTGTAGGAAGTGCATCAACACCTGGTCTGGCTTCCTGGTCTTTAGTCCTGTAACTTTCTCCCTCTGTCTTTCTCCCTCCAGCGCTTGAATACCATAATCTTAACACATCAACCGCAACCAAGCACTATTGGGTGATAACAGGTAAATTGCTTTTCTACACACAAATACACACACAGACAAAGTGCTACTGGGTGATCAGTGGTAATTAAGAGCTGCATCGATCGCACAGAACAGCAGTTTGTTAAATGCCCTGGCACATGCTGTTGTGCAGTTTAACACAATAGCCCTGGCTTTCCACATTTCCCTTTCCTCCACCATCCTTCCCTCCCCTCCTAACACCCCATCCCTCACTCTTTCACCCTCTGTGCCCAGCATGTCTTTAGCTGATCTGTTCCTGGGAAAACCTATTGATGTATAATTCACAGCTTCCTGATTGGGGCAGGGGAACCGATCACTTCACATCACATCACAGCCTGGGTGTGAATGATGTGTCCGTGTTTTTGATGAGTCTGTTTGTGAAGTTTGTGTGTGTGAAGTCTGTTCACTGCTTCATCTCACTTATAGCCTCTAGTAAGAGACACACTCAGGTGCAAGGCTGATGCAAACACCTGTGTGTGATCTGTGTGCCGTTGTGACTGTATTAGAAGTTTCTGTATGAGTTCCTTTTAAATGGAAGGAACAGTCATCCAGACCTCTTAAATATCCCACTCATCTCTTCTCTCCTCCTTTGTTCCCCTTGAATACCAATATTGTCCTCAAATGCTCTCATTATGACATTTTCTCCCCATCTTTACATATCACATCCCCACCTCACCCATCTTCTCCTTACATCCCTCCTCATGCTTTTATTCCACCACAAACTCAATCCCCTCACCTGTCTCCTGTTTTGCTCCTCTTTATCTGTCTCAACATCTTCTTAACCCCTAAACCCCTCCTTTGTCTGCTGGCATCTCTCCTCACAGTGATCCAGGATGTGGACAGCTCCTCCCTGGAGGCCAACTACCAGAGCTTTGCCAGCCTGATGGAGCAGCGGCTGGCTGAGCTCTTCCTAGTGGCCGGAAGGCAGGGCATTCGGACGGCACGGTCACGGCGGGCCACGACCGTGGGGGGCTACACCATACAGGTAGGTGGGAATGGGCTTTTTCTGTGTCACTGTTTGTCTTTGTGATGATGGAGATGGTGCCTCTGTTCTTTGAAAAAAATATTTGCACCTGTCTAAGTGAGTTGACATCTTTGCTAACAAGAAATGTTTAGACTTATTCAATTCTGCAAGGCGTTTATGATGTGAACTCTGGTCTAGCGATAATCTTGACGTTACAGTTAGGTTTAGGTGACAGTAATGACTTTATCATACCATAGTTACACTTTACTTCCAGTTTTTAGGCATTCTGTATGTACTGAGATTGTCTACCTTCCAGGTAGCTGCCTGTTTCTACTTGTTTCAATACACAAAATCAAATAAAAACATGAGAGTTGCTTGAGAAAGGTAATCCATCACAGCAATTAATCACATGCACAGTATGTTTCTATTACAGTTCCAATTAATAGTAAAATAAATTCTGTGGGATTCCAGTTGTAATGTTGCTGAATAGGATTCAAATGCAGATAATTAGGATGCCCCTGAAAGATCAGGATGGAATAGTTTCTAAACTTCTTTTTAATCACTAAACTCAATGGTCAAGCAAAAAGTTCAAGCATTCACTAAATCCAACATTTTAATCGTGATAATTTGCTGCTTTCTGTGGTAGTAAACTGAATATATTGATCAAACAGAGCAAGTAATTTGATAGCATCACCTTGGGCTGAAGAAACTAATAATGTTGGCTTTCTACATTACATAAACAAGGATTCGATTATTTGAGCATTTTTCTGTGGATTAATAATAATGAAAATATTTGTTAGTTGCAGCCACTGTGAAAATGTTGTCATTCCATTACATAGGTGGCTGTATGATGATTATAAAAATGAACCTGAATACATGTTATACAACCAGATTTTCACTGTGTACTGAAATGAAACCATCTGATGCCTGGAAAGTATGAAAACAGCTGAAAATCTCATGGTATGCAGTGTTTTAGATTAGTATGTTACAGATGAGGTGGTAGTGTGTTCCATAGTGTGTGATCTAAAGCCACTGTCTCTTCTGGGCGGTTCAGTGTCTTGCCAAAGGACACTTCGACATGTGGACTGCAGGCATCGAGATTCAAACTTTCAACCTTCTGTTTGGGAGACAACTGCTCTACCCACCACACCACTGTGTTGTCAAAAGGCAACAAAGAACGTAGTCTTGCTGGCACTTACAGTGCCATGGGAAGAGTGGATGGAGGAGGCTTTTGAGCAGAACAGGGAGAAATATGACAGTCTAATCAATGATTGCCATAGACAAGGTTGGAAAGGGAAGTGCATGCCTGTAGAGGTTGGGTGCAGGACAGTCTCTCTGTAGAGCCTATGCTGCACTCTGCATTACAGGCAAGAGGAGGAGAAGTGCCATCTATTGCAGCACAGAGGCAGCAGAGAGAGCCTCTAGATGGCTCTGGATAAAGAGGGCAGATCCGTGGTTGAGTGCTGCTAGGGCACAAGTTGAGGCTTGATCAACCTCAGCTGGGTCGCCTGAGCTGATGTTTAAAAGACCCAAAACACCCGATGACCTCAGGTAACATCACTGATAATGTACCCTATCTATGCATCAGAAGATGTGTCATTTCAAAAAAGAACAGCTTCAGTGCTCCCCTCCCCTCCAAGTCTCTGAACTCTACTGGAGGGATGAACACCATTCTTCTAACAGATATTCCCTTATGTGGTGTTTTGATGATGGTGGTGGAGGCTCTGTTTAACACGTCACTCCAGCATCTCCCATAGGTGTCCAACTGGGTTGAGATCTGGTAACTGTGAAGGCCACAGAAAATGATTTACATCATTTTCATCAAACCATTCAGTGACTATCATCTTTGAAGAGACCACTCATATATTCTGTTTTTTCCTTTCATTTGTCACCCATCTGTATTTATACTTAGTCCAGTAAAAAAGCCAGTATCAGCCTGAGATACTGGACACTTTATTACTACTCTCCTAGATGGTGAGTATGCGTCGACTGCCTGGTCCCAAGAACCCAGCAGAGATGACCTACTATGCCCAGCTGAATGGAGCACCCATCCCTGGAACCACTGCTGCAAAGACCCTCAGCAGTCTGGACTCCCAAACCATGGCTCTGACACTGGGATACTTCGTACAAGTGCAGGCTGAACGTAAGCTTACTCAACATAAAATGACAACCAGATAAAAAAGGAAACATTCTGGCCAGACAATGAACACAAGAAAAGTTATTGGAGAACATACAGTACATGACATTCTATTTAACAAAAGTGATACATTAATAATAGACTAATGAATAATTAACCCAGATGATGTCATCAGGGTTATTTTTGTTTTAGACTTTACAAAGTTCCCTCCAGAGCTGCAGAAGTAATTATGCAAATGTTTATACAGGCAGAGTAGTACTCCTCATAAATCCTGATCTTCAGGTGTAAAATTAGTGGAATGCCCTTTTATGTATTAAGCTTGCTTATGAATCCTGATGAGGTAGTTAAGACTAATTATAGTACACTGATTATAGTACATCCTCTAGAATACTACAGTAGGTAAATCAATGATTCATTATTTTGATGATGGAAGCCACAGAAGATATAGTCAACAGTAAATCATATTTTCATAGGAAGCTTTACTGTTATCTTGTAAAGTGTAGAGACACTGGAAAATTGAAGAATAGAAAAACATCATATTACTGTCAAATTAACTTTAAGTGAATAGTTTTGGTGTATATATTTATATTTCCTTTCTTGCAGAGACACAGGCAATGCAGTGATTTGGCCAACAAGCCATAATGTGTTAATTAGCGAAATTTAGAGATGCTTGTAGGTGGGTTATGCTACTGCTAGTGTTTCCCCTGGTTCAAATTCTTCTGCTAAGCCAAGCTGCAGTAATATAGTGCATAGAGTATTTACAGTTCATATATTTGAGTGGTATCGCTCAATATCTGATGCTAAAAGGAAACTGAATTAGCATATTTCCCAAATGTCTAACTAATCCTTTAACTCTAATGCTAGGATCTAAGTAACATACCTGTATTGTTTCTGTTTTTCTTTTCTATATTTACTCACATATTTACAGCACAACAGCACTGCTGCACTGTGAAACTCATTATTTTCAATGGCATGCATAGTGACACAACTGCACCGAGCAAAGCAGACGCTCAGTGTAGCACACAGTTCAGAGAGCAATGTAAACCCGTGGAGCCAGTGGACATGAGACATCCAGCCAGGCAGGGAAAGCACAGCACGAGCTAATGTGTGTCTGAAGTCATGTTCTGAATTCTCAGTTATATGACACATTTCACATTAGTAGTGTACATAGTAGTATATATGTTAGTATAGAGGAATGTCATGGAAACAGACTTCCATTCAAATGCAGGTCAGGTGTGTTTTAACAGCCAGAGAATTTGTTGTACAGCGGTAATATGTGGAACCATAGCTCTGTTACTTGTCCCCCTCAGTATATCAACAGACCTATTTTTCTTAATTTAGATAAGGATCTAAAGACATATAGTTTTCATACAAAAAACGTATAATGTTTTCTCTACTTATATAAAGGATGAGTTTAAAAGGCGACAGAAGTTAGCTAGTGACACACAACGTTACCGGGGCTCTCTGAGTGAGCCGGGGCAAAATGAAATCTCCGCCTACTTTGCTCTAAACCCTGTGGCCAGCACAGTGTGAGCTGCTTTCGGTCTGAAAGTCCCATTATATGTTTTGATGATGCACAGTTAACTGACAGACCACAGTTCTCACTCTGCAGCCATTGTAGAAACAACAAAACAGCCAGAGTTTAATGCTCTTTATGGTCTATTTGCTGAACTGAAGCGTAACAGTCATAGCTTACTGTGACATTCAGTAGCATTTGGGTTTTGCATACATTTTCATACATTACTATAATGTCCCATGTATCCGATAAAGCTTAAGAATTCAAATTTACAATTACAGAATCAGTGATTTTGTGTGTGTGCAATAGCAAACACTAGATCAAAGTAATAATTGGTAGGAATGTGAATAAGTGTAATTGTACCGCTTTTTTCAAATTATTCCTATAAGTGTGTGCAAGTGCTGGAAACGTCGAACTATGAATGACAATACAAAGTGTGTCTTTTGTAGTCATCACTGAAAGGTCATTTGGTGGTTAAACTGCTTGGAAAGGACAGAGTGAATAACACAGTCATAATATTTGTATATTTGTAGCTGTCATTAAGACGCCGCCCAGCAACCTGTGGATCATGGCCATTCTAACACCTCTCTTTCTGTTGATGGTGGTGATCGGTATGGTCGCCTTCATTCTGTGTAAGAGGAACAGGGCCATCTTCAAAACCGGGGCCTTCAGGACCTTTAAAACACGCTCCAAGGTAAGAACCTTTCACCCGTTGTTTCTATTACCAATTATGTTTCCTGCCTCCTCCTTCTTTTCTTCCCGATCCTTTCTTCTGCTGCTATTAATACACCAGCTGTTAGCTCTCTTGGGGTATTACATCTCACCCAAAAATGTTCACTTCTCGCTGCTTCACTTTAACATTCTCCCAGAAACCAAAACTACTGTGGAATTCTTACTAAGATGACACAACCTGGTTCTGAATGAGTGATATGCTGCACAAGTTATTCCTTCAGGTCAGGAAAATTGACTGTGGGCCTCACTCATTTTTTGAACTGCTCGATAGCCCATGGTCATTGCCATTCATGCATATTGCAAAGACACAATCAGCTGAGAGAAATGAACCAGTCTCAGTGAACTGGAACCTTAGGTGACAGTAGTGCTCACTCAACAACAGCTCATTTGAGGTTAAAATTTCAAATGAGTAGGTGTGCTAGCTGGTCTGATCAGGTCAGATTGTTCTCCTGCACACAAAGCAGTGCATGACACCAAAACAACAGCTACAGGGTGTGTCATTGCAGTCGCTGACAAGGTAAACATGCAACAAGCAGGCTAGCCTCATTTATTATGAAGTGGTTCTTGACATGGTTCAGCTTTGTTCAGAATTCACACCAGACCAAACCTATTAAATCTGTTTTACAAAAACTTTTGACAGCCAGCAGAGGAACCTCCCTAATACTATGAATAAACCATTACACAGAATATTCCTGTTGAGAGGTCACAAAGCAGTCAAATGCTTTGACCATCAGTAAAGTGCTGTATTCCCTCTTGGCCTGAGCAGTAGTATAAAAAAATATGTGTGCAGTGTTTTTGACAAATATCCAGATTCTAGGTTCTGGGTATGGAATCCAAAAGTGAAGCAGTTAGATGTTTTGACTCATGGCATATGTCTTGTAAGCCAGCTTTCTGATCACCCAAATTTGATCAGACCTCTTATTTGTGTATATTTGCCTATCATTTCTATCAGTTTAGATATCACAATTGCTTAGATTTGGGAACATGAAGACATTGTCCACAACAGCCAATCCAACAAGGCAGGAAATAAGGTCATAAGGGTTGTGAACAAGTAATAGCAGTTTAAATAGATTATTTAGACCACTTTACTTGGAAGTAAAACTACAAGGGAACACGCCTGATGTTTTGTGAATTGTCCATGTGTGCAAACACTAAGTATGATGGCTCAAAAGTGAACCAGCTGTGATGGAGACACAGTTTCTGTAAAAGTGTAGCTTTGACATTTGGTTTCTCTTCAAGCCAAGTTTGACTGACCATGGGTTTTGTTTAAAGGATAAGACTTTGGTTAAAGGATAAGGCTTGTCAGTGAAAGCCTGGTATACTGTTGCCTACCTCCTGTGTCATAGAACAACTTCATTACAATGAAAGCACACATGCTAGTTTGTAATGATATCAGTGTATGTGGCACTGTCCTGCTGGCTTAATTAATACTGACTAGAGCCCCAAATGTGTATTAATCCGCTCAAAACAGTCCCTAAACAAATGCGCTATTAATACTTGTTTAAGATTCACTACACTTCAGTATGAACCAATGGGCTGGGGGCTGAGTGCCACAGATACAGCAGGGCATGGAAGGTATTTTAGAGAGGGACTAACACATTGTTGGTTTAGATCTTTTCAAGAGATTTGTTGAGAAAAGAAATTACAATCACAATTTTGAGTGCATTGTTATTACCTGGAACAATGGCCCTTCTCTTCTCTTCTCTTCTCTTCTCTTCTCTTCTCTTCTCTTCAATTTTTTATTAACGTATTCCTGACATTGTCCCTTTGACTCTCTCCTTGTTTAGACCTCTTATCGAAGGGAGGGCAGTTACCACCACCAGGTATTTACTAAGCCATGGGTTGAATGGATTAGAGACTGACTGACTGAGTCAGTGAATAAGTGAACAAGATATTGGTTTGCTTTCTGACTTTTACTGGCCGACAGTGATAAACATTTGCTGTCCAAGCGCCTTGCTGGCCGTTTACTGCTGCCTGTGCTCCCTGTCATTGTTGCTGAGTAAATTCTTGCATGTGGCTACTGTGCTGTGGACATACTGTAACTTATAACACTATCCTCACTGGGCAATGATGAAAGGCAAACAACTGTAATAGCGATGTAACATTCACAAGCGCATTTCTTAAGATTTAAAATGTTTTGATTTCAGTCGATGGACAATTAGCAAGAAGAGGCTTGCTCATAAAGACAGACAAATGAATTCAGTCCTGCCAGCTAGAATTATAATTGGTGATCATAACCATAAATAACAGACCTGCAAGCCAAACCAATATAGATTTATTTCAGAGCTTTCACATTAAGTGACTCTAGCTGGTGCTGTCTAGACCACCTTTCTGCCAGTTCCTTTTCAAACCAGCTGTTTACCCTCTCAGATGAGGCCACTCTCGTCCCACGGTGGCTCAGCAGGAGCCCTACATGGATGCCCAACCTAATTCGTTTTTATATGAGGTTCTCCAAAGCATTATCACAGACCCAAAGCAGAGCTGCAGTGCTCAAATGACATACTGTACAAAAATGGCTAAACACTTTAAATCACAAAGAATCATGCAAAGACCATCACTATGGTTACTGTTGCTGTGTTACATGTCAGCTGCTTTGTGGAATATTTTGGTCCAGCCTTTGCCATCCTCATTCCTTTGGAGGTAAGGGAGCTGGAGCCTCAGAAACTACTTTATATGTACATGATTTGCATCCCTGCTTGGCCATATCTCCTTATAATTTAATGTTAACATTTCCATTTCCAAGCTCCAAGTTCTGTTTGGTCTCACAGACTTTTGTAAACATTTGATATGACTCATGTTGTGTTTAACGAGAAAGCCCATCAAACAAAATGTGAGGTTTCATAAGAGGTGCGCATACACAATCACAGTTTTAATCCACAGTGGTATTCGCCCCCTACTAATCCCAAACAGAGGCATGTATGAGCAAATGAGATAAATATTTCACACAGGGATATGACAGACTGTAGTTAAACAGTCACAGTTTACTAACACGTCATTTTCTTCAGGTGTATGCTTATATGTTCACTGCTGTATAAAAGTGGCATCCTCCTTTTTTAGATGTAATTTTGAATTCTTCTTGCCTACATTACACAGACAATGAGAGATGTGATAGTAAATGAGAAGACAGAGAGGGGTTAACATACAACCATGCCCCCTGGCTCTACCCAAATTGGGGATGTTGTGATTACATGGCCAGCACCTTGAACACTAAACCACCAGCAAGCACAGAATGATGCCCTTATAAACTGATTCCAGTATAAGAGATGGAGAACAAACTCTGCAGCCCTCTTTCTGTGCAACATGTGTCTTCAATAGTTTCAGCCCCTCTTTGTTTTTTTCCACAGATAACATTTCCTTGCTTATCTGCAGGGGAGGAAAAGGCAATTTCATACTGAAAAGACTGTTGTGTTGGAAGATATCCACTTGATTTGATTCATTTGTCTTGCAAACAATTTTGGCCTTGGCTCAGATTCAGAATGCTCTTTTGCATGGAATGGGTACAGTAGATTTTTATCCCAAATTTAACCATGCCCAACTACATGGGAAACAATATATCCAGTGCCTGAGGTTACAGGTACAAAAAATGGACACTTCTGTCTAGACCCAGCACATCCATGAGAGATGCTGAATATAGTTAAATATTAAACATAAGAGGTTAAACACTGAAACTTTCAACCAGAATCTTTGACTAAAATACTGCTTTTCAGTATGGAGTAAAAATGTCAAAGAAATTAAGGTGGCTAATTTTGATTTTTGACATTGAGACATTCTGACATTTCTGAACAGCACATCTTACAAAACATGTCCTGAATGACCATAAACCACCTGTTAGGTGGCTCTTTAACCTACTTGGCGGCCTGGCTGATCTCCCAGTATTGTGATCTTAACACATTCAGCATACATCTTGTATTAGCATCCATCCATCCATCCATTTTCCTCCGCTTATCCGGGACCGAGTCGCGGGGGCAGCAGTCCGAGCAAAGATGCCCAGACTTCCCTCTCTCCAGACACTTCCTCCAGCTCCTCCGGGGGAATGCCAAGGCGGTAC